GGGCACACATGGCGGAGCCACACACAAGTTGGCAGCTTCGGAAAGAAGAGTTGAGGGGAAGAAGAATTACTACTGACAGCCCCAGAGGTTTTTCCAAACATACTTTTAATTGATGAACCCATTATATCCTTTCTAAAGGCATTTTTAAAACCTAATAAATGACTGCTTACTACGGAGCACAATACAATCCCTTACAAGTTAAGCTGTTCTCGTGAATCACTTGTAATTACTGGGCATTTTCAAGCCCAGGGGATGTATAACTATATTATTGTATTCCTGTGATTTTATGAAGTCAAGACAAGGAAACAAATCATGGTAACTGAATTAATCTCTTCACCAAGAGCTCATAATAATCAGCAGAAAACTTAAAAATCCCATAAACCAAAAAAAAAAAAAAAAAAGAAAAGAAAAGAAAGAAATCACTATTAAATCATCAGGTCTTTTTCTAACTACTACTTGGTTTGTTTACTCCCAAAAGGGGAGAGTAAAAGGGGAGAAGATGGGAAGGGTAGGGAGAAAAGGATGGGAGGAAAGGGAGGAGAGCCAGACAGAGGGGGAGAAGGGACAGAGGGAGAGAGAAAAGGGAGAAGGGAGAAGCCAACAGGGGGAGGGGAAGAAGAGGGAGGGGTAGGAGGAGGGAAGGAGGAAGGAAAGAAAGAGAGGCAGGAAATCATATTGGTTTCCTAAGGCTGCTGTAACAAACTGCCACAAATTTAGTGGCTTAAAACAACACAAATTTATTTTCTTACAGATCTGGAGGTCAGAAGCCTAAATCAAAGTGTTGGCAAGATTGTGCTCCTTCTGGAGACTTCATGGGGAGAATCTGCTTCCTTGTCTTTTCCAGCCTCTACCAGCCACCTGCATTCCCTGGCTCATGGCCTTTTCCTCCATCTTCAAAGTACATCACTCCAACCTCTGCTCCATTTGTCCCATCTCCTCCTTCTGCCTTTGACCTTCTTGTCTCCCTCTTATGACAAGCCTGGTGGTTACAGGTAATCCAGGAGAATTGCCCCATGCCAAGATTATTAACTTAATCGCATCTGTAAAATCTGTTTTGCCACATAAGTCATGTTCCAGGGAGTAAAGATATGGACCTCTTGGCAGAGGGCATTAATCAGCCTGCTACAGGCATTTAAAGAAAGAAGAGGAGGGAGTTCCAACTGAATGTGAAAGTTAGGGACCTCTATGCCATTTTGATTTCAAATGACCTTCAAGTCATGTTGTAAGAATGGCTTTTTAAAATCGCCCTCTCTAAAAAAAAGACTCGGAATATGCCATGTTGCCTTTTCCACGATTTTTTCAAAACACATTCACACCTATAATCTGATGTTCTCCAAAGATATCTTGGCAGATAAGAAAGACAGTTTATCCCTAGTTGCAAATAAGAAAAGGCTGGCTAAGTTGCAGCCACCTTCTCCCCTCAGTCACCTAAGGAGCCACCAGTAGCTCAGTAGGACCAGCCCACCTCCAGACCATTGTCCACTTCTCTTTCCATGGCATGACACTTAGTCCTATTTTCTCTGTAGCTTTTTTGTAAGGGAAACAAAGGAGGGGTGGGGGGGATGATATCAAAGGCTCTTAGATCTTTCAAATCATTTGTAAAAGAGATCATAGAGTTCTCCCTCCCCACCCACATGTTCTTCCTGCCAAACATTCCCGTGACTCAGGCATGGTCACTCTGCATGGATATTTCCAGGGGCATGGAGCTCACTGTTCTTTAAGTTAACCCACTCACGGACATTACTCTGCAGGTTTTATTTCCAAAGATAGCCCTAGTGAGCCCTGGGGCCTGGACGAAGGTGCTCTTACATAGAAGTAAGGGCTGATGCAAGATGGCATACAGGTGTGGCTCAGGGTCAAAGTTCATCCTGCAGGACACATCTCCACAGTAGTCCATGGGAAATGCACTGGTAGTCTGAACCCCAGAGTCCTTTTCCTTTTTATTCATCTGCCACTGACCTGTTGAATGGTGTTTGTTAAACCGCCCTCCTTTTATGTGGTGCTGGTCCAAGGTCAAGCTAGGGCAGGACACTTTTGCATGACAGTCAAGAAGATGGAGCATGGAGCCAGCTGCACTAATACCTACTTGATGTTGAGCAAGTTCCTTAATCTCTCTGAGCCTCGGTTTCCTCAACTATAAAATTGGGAGAGTAAACCTCACCTGCATCGTAGGATTGTTAAGATGAAAAGGGAGATGGTGTGTGCAAGGTGCTTCAAACAGTGTCTACAATAGTAGCCCTTACTCCAGGGACCTGGACTCTTCTTCTGTGTTTAACTAGTTTTTTGCCCTCCCATGCCATATGACATTAGGACTGGGCATATCCTCCCTCAGCAAAATCTCTTTGCTCCACATACAACCTCTCAACACCTACACATACACACACATCGGCATGCTTATCAGTTCTCTCAGGATGCTTCTGGTTCATTCAGCACTTTGCTGTGCTGAGTACATTGGGACACACAAAGAAAAATAAGAGTCTGCCTTCTCAGAGTGTTAAGTTTAAGCAAAGAGAAGACCCAAGGCAAATAATTGTAATGCAAGATAAAATATTATAAGGTTCTAAGACAGATTTGTATAAATAAAGTGCTATGAAGTTTCAAAGGCCAGAGAAAACAACACTGGCTGAGAATGGAGGAAAAGGGAGTCATAAAAGTCCCACTTACTGGCCTTGATCCAAAGATGCAAAAGTGACAAGAAAGAGCGTTGTAGGCAAGGGGGAGGCTTATAGGGAATGGACATTCTTTATGTGTTTGCTAGAGCCCAACCCAGTCCTCCACTTTGAAGGCCCAGAAAACTGATTTATTCAGGAGCCTGAGAGTGGAGCTAGTATTCAGGGTAGATTCACATTAACCACACTCAGTAGCCTGATGTATAATAGCAAATGGTCAATGTATTGCTTCCTTTGAGCAGTACTTGGATTACTGTAATCACATCAGAACGGCCATCATAAATTTTCCCTGAAAGCAAATCATAATCAAAAAGTTAATGATTGTGAAAACAGACCAAGGAGATTTATGTAATGTGATTGTTTTCTGACATGAGGGTAAGATGTCTTATGCATATAAGTTTCCTCTAGCAAGTACAGAGGACCAAGATGCCTTCTTTCCTTTTTCTTTACTTCATGACTTTTTCTTTTCTTCATGATATGACTTTTCTTCATGACCTACCTCTTTCTGATTGACCCACCTTTCTTTTTTCCCTAAGTCAACTATTTAATTACATTATAAGCATCTTGCTGGTGGGAACCAGCCCATCTCTGTGAAACACTTGTGTATATCTCTAATCAGACGCATAACTCTCAGAGGGAAATAGAGAGTAGTTAGATGTGGTTCTGGGAGAGGAAGCAGCAAAGGTCTGATGGGGCCAGACCTCAGGAAAGGAGTCAGACCCCACACAGGGGGTGGTAAATGGGAGGACTATGTAACTTAGTAATAATGACACTGATGAGCCACTCTATTTGCTTTACCACAAGGAAGGGATTACCAAGGCCATGTCTTTCCAAGATGAGGGCTGGGAGAAGTATTTTGGGGGCAAAAAATGACTTTCAGTGTTCTTAAATCAAAGAAGCATTTTCTGACCCACACTTAGTTCCCTCTGTATAAAACTCAGAAAAGCTGCACTCCTGGGAAAGGAGGCAGGGATGAAGAAATGCACATATAGGATGGGAGAAGGAATAACAATAAAAATGGCAAAACGTTCCTGTTCCCCTGTGTCAACCTGTCATACTTCTCCTCTTCAGACATGGCATGACACCCTCTGGGAACCTTCCTGATACTCAGCATTAACCCCTCCTTCCTCTGTGCCAGAGGTCGGTAAACATTTTCCAGAAAGGGCTAAATGGTATGTCCTTTAGGATTTGTGGGCCATATGGTCGCTGTTGCAACAACAATCAATAACACTTGTTTCAGAAACATGAATTTGTCCCAGAGTGATTAATATATTGGGGAACAATAGGAGCATGACACAAATTTCTTGTTTGTTTAAGTACAGTTTCCTCCATGAGAAACACTAGGTGACGATGGAAAACTGCATCCCGCTGAAATAAGACACCCAGGAATACGCAAAACACGCACACACACACGTACCTCAAACATCCACCATCTGCTCCAGGTCACCAGGGATGCTGTGAGCCGTATCGTCCCCCACCCCCCTCCCGCCTGCCGGGCGCTACCGCTTCCCATCAGATTTCAGATGACCCTCCTCTACCGCTGAATAGCGCACAGGCTGAAGCCCTGCTGGAAGATGCCACGTCTTTTTCAAGGTCAACTTCCATATTTATTGTGGTATATGTTTCTTAACCATTTAACAGGTGTAAAATAGTGATGCTATCTTTATCAGCTTCCTATCGATTTTTAATATTTGTCCCTGACTGTTTGAGTGTTGCCCACAATGCCATTTTCCCCATATGGTCTGTGGATGTTATTGCACAATCTTGCATAGGGTAGTAATTTTTAGGAACATGTACCATGTTAAAACACAACAGGCTATACTCATCTCTGCCACTTTAGGGCAAAAGTGGCTGAAGACAATACATGAACAAATGAACATAGATGTGTTCCAATGAATTTTATTTACAGAAACAGGCAGCAGGCCAGATTAACCCATGGCCTTACTTTTTCTGTGTGTTATCCCTCTCCCCTGTGCATGATTTAGTTGTTTCCCTTAGCATCTGGATGGTAATTTGTTTATTTGAATGCCCCTGTCTCCAACTAGGCCATAAGCTCCATGGGGGAGGGGGTTCTTTTATTCATTGCTTTCCTCAGCACTCAGTCACTGTGTCCGGCAGGCAGTGGGCTCACAGAGGGCTGCTGAGTCATCTGTCTCAGAGGAGAGGTAATCTCCTCTACCAGGAGATACTCTAACCCCAAAGAGCAGAGCTGTCTCTCTCTATCACCCACCCCAGCATGAAGCTTTGACATTCAGATTCAGATATAAGAAATATTTATTAAACCCCATCCACTGAGCATACAGGAGTAAGACCATGACTTTATGTAACTCTATGCCATTCCTCCAGAGAAACTTGAAAGATAGGTATATTATGTCCATCTCATGAAAGAAGGAATTAAATCTCTGAGTGGCTTTATAACTGTCCCAAGTCACACAGAGCTGAGCAGGGTGTGTTCACAGGAATGCTGTGGCTCCAGAGGAGAGGACATGGAATCTTGTCTGGGGGTGTCCTCACATTGACTTCCTTTTCCTCCCTCTCCATGGCAAACATGTTATGGAACTGACTTGTTAGGTTTGCCTAACAAAAACAAATGAAAAGGAGGAAACCTGAAGAAACCTACAGAACTAGTTTCTTAAAATCTATTGATGATGTTACAATAACATAAACAAGGAAACTTTAGGAACAAAAGAAATGAGATTTCTGTTACCTAGAAAAGGTAAGAAGTCCCCACATAGTTCAATTTTTAGAAGGCTCTAGGAATTTTTGGGTCCTTACTATTGATTCGGTTTTATAGGATCACATTGGTTTTTTCTTGGCCACAAGCAGTTCCTTCACCTGTTTACAGAATAACAAAGGGTTTCTGTTTCATCTGATTTGCTCTGACATGCTATAGCAAAAAAGCATTTGTTCGGCCCATTCTCCATTTATATAGGAAATATAAGCAACTATGGATAGCATCTTGCCTGAACTGGCAAAATTACCATCTGGAGTCTGTAAATGTAAGTGACAGGAATTTCTGGAAAAAAGCACAATGTTCAAAACCCACCTGGCCCCCATTATTGCTATGAAGCCTTATTCAAAGGCCCGTGATCCAGCCAACTCCCAAAAGTCTATGATGTTGGTTAGTGGTCCAAGGCATTTCCTTGTAGACCACCCTAGCCATGCCTGGCTCTTAGCAGAGCATGTCACCAACAACCCGAAGGAGGGGAAGGTTTTCTGCTCCTTAGTATGCTTCTGCCCTGGCTGGATGCCTGGAGTGCAATGTGTACACAATCCATTTTATGAGACAGATGGAAATTGAGCTAGAGCAAATAAATCATACGGCACTCTTTTAGTGATGTCTTTCTATAGGGAATCTTCCTGTTGACTAAGTGTGGCCTTGTACCTCCTTGATTAGGCACACAGATGTTTTGTTGATATTTGACTCCTGTGAGAAGTTTCTCACTTAAAGACTCTCTGGAGCTTCTCAACATGCAGGGCTCTGCCACTTAGACACTGTGAGGAGTTTTGTGAACTGATTATTACAATCACATTCCTTCTGTTGACACACACCCACTCCCACACAACTATGCCACCAAAACCATCAACACCCCTATATGTCTCATACCCTACCCTACCCAAATGTTTCATGCAAAGGTTGGGGCTTGGCAAAAGCAGGCAGTGACTTGGACATTATTGTTTAAGCATCTCTCTTTCCATTCTTTAAATAGATGCCCTACCTAAAATCCAGAAGATGCTTACCAAAGAAGCAACAATCTTTGGAATTGGGCAGATCAGAGATAGAATTCCAATTTTCTCAGTGAATTGTTGAGCAGCTAGACCTATTTATTGAGGGGTGAAGATAACACAGGCAGGTTTAGCTATGCAACTATAGTATTTTGAAAACAGAATATCAAGTCTAGGAAAACAGACTAACACAGATGGAGCACCCATGTTATGTCAGGCACTTAACAAATCATTTTATTTAATTCTCAAATCAAATGAAGAAACTGAGGTTCCAAGAGATTAAGTATTTTGGCTCAGACCTCCCAGCTCATGAGTGGAAACCCTGAAATTCCAACAAGGCAGATGGGTCTGGCTGTAAAGACTGGGCTTAGTTGTGCCTGGGGGGCCTCTTGCCTCCTCAAAGCCAATTATTTAAATGTAGGATGTTATACAAAAAGAGTACACAAACTCTGAATAGACACAAGCAACATAGGACTAGAATTCTGAGGAGGCCCTTCCTGAAGCAGAGGTAAGGCATAATAAATCAAGCATGAGCAGTGGTTAAAAAATACACAGGAGCAGACCTCCTGAACAAGCACTACTGAAGTCTGGAGAAGCCCTCTCAAGATTAGACACTGGTGTGCCTACAGCAGAGAATTCCATTGCTTTTCTGAAACCAGTGTATGAAAAGGAGCCAAACAGGTGAAGCCGTGGATGTGTGCCAAACCCATGCCAGATGAGACAGAAAAGACAAATAGAATAGCCAAATTCTTGCACTTCAAGACTTTAAACAAAGAATGGAGATTCGCTGACTGGAGTCAAGTCTTTTGATGAACCAAAAAATAATCAGCCCTGATTAACATTCTTTTGCATCGTCAAAAGGAGATAGGTCAAAATACGGTAATGGTAAGGTATCGATTGACCTCACATTTCTGGTAGAGGAGTCACCTGCCAGTGGGAAGGGGGCAGCTTTCTTCCCTGAGAGGGTCACGACATAGCTAGAAACTTCTGCCATTCCATAATTCTTAATAAAAAGCTTAATCTCTCTGCAATGACTTTTAAACTCCCATGATTTTCTCTAATGACATAGAGGGAGAGCAAAATGAAGTCATCATTCTTTTCTATTTTTTTGTGCTAAACTGCTTTTCTTGATTAGAGGCGAACTGCCTATTGTTTCATCACTACCTAGGGAGACTGTGCTGGAGAACCCTAAGACTGCACATTAGAATCGCCTGGAGAACTTTTTTTAAAAAAAATAGTGATTCCTGGCCCTGGAACAGAATCCTTGGTGTAGAATCCTTGAGAGGGGTGAGCCCAGGAAGTAGTGTTTTTTTAATAAGCTCCTCAGATGATTCTAACATGCAGGAGGGTAAAGAACATCTGGATAGTGCTGGGCATCTAAGCTTTGTCAGAAGAACTGGATCAGTGGTTTGGGATTTGAATTCTGACTTCCCTTCTCACTAACTGTAACAATGGGCAAAACACGGACCTTTCTAAAAGTCAGCTTCTTCTCCAATAAAATAAAGATATTCACACTGCAAGGGACAAATGATGGAGTCTGCAGAAATCTTTTAAAAACTATAAAAACACTATAAATAGGAAGTATTACCATTATGTCTATCACATATCTTAATTAAATCAAGTGTGTTTTGCAGATAAATATAATGTAAAACCCCTTTAACTCCTGTAAGACTTTATTATTCTGAGACTTTGAGTAAGGCCATCTTAGGCTGGCCAATATAGGTGAATAAATAAAAATAATTGGGATCTCCTTAAACTTTTAGAGGCAAGAAAGTACAAAGGATATTTCTCTGGAAGATGAAAAGGGACATTCCTTGGAACTAATGAGTCACTGATTTATCCTCATACCCATATTACTAAGGAGCTTATCCTTCTAAGGAGAACATTTCTCCTTGGGTCACAGCAGCAAGTTTGTGTACCAGTAACTAAGGGGCCCTTAGGTGGTGCATGCTAGGAGGTAAGGACACTTAATTATTCCTAAAGAGTCACTTATTGATCACAGGGTAGGAAGAGAAAGCAAATGCTTTACCTAAATTACCTCTGATCAATTGATTTGAGAGGTGCTGAAGATTAAGTGACAGGCAGGGAGTTGCATGAAATTAGCAAAACAAAATAAGCTGTATTCCTGAATGATCAGCCAAAATCTCCTAAGGGGGAAAAATCACAGGTTCGGCCCATGATGCATGTCCTATTAGAAGTATTGAAATGCAATACTCAACAACATTGGATGATGGCTTTGAATAAGAAGAGAAATACAACACTTGTTCCCTTCTGACTCAAATGCACCAGGTGGAAAAAGGACAGTGATAACAAATAGCTAGGGAGCTATGTGAAGTTTATAAAGTGAGGGAACTGGAGTCCTGCCCCCTTGCCGGCTCTAGTTGCAGTGCTATTCCACAGGATGGGAGAGAGAGTGCAAGGAAGGGATGTGTATTCAAGTGCCCATCTTTCCCTGAGCTGTCGTTTATTATAAAATTTTGCACACCATCAAGATGTGCATTACTAGATAATGATTAAGTAAACTGTCACGCTTCTAAAGTGACATATTAAGGAGCCATTATGAAAAGTGTTAGAGAAAAATGTTCTTGATATGGAAAGTGTTGACAATATATATGGTTTTAAAAAGCAAGCTGTTTTGGGGTGCCTGGGTGGCTCCGTTGATTAAGCGTCCAACTCTTGATTTCTTCTCAGCTCAGGTCATGATCTCAGTTCATGGGATTGAGCCCCATGTCTGGCTCTGCACTGACAGAGTGGAGCCTGCTTGGGATTCTCTCTCCCCATCTCTCTCTGCTTCTTCCCCACTTGCTCTCTCTCTCTCCAAATAAATAAATAAACATTTAAAAAATAAAAATAAAAAAAGCTGTTTTATATGATGCCTTTTCATATAAAATGACATGTATATAATACGAAAAATAGTGAAGCTGTTCATTCATTTATTCATACCACAAATATTTACTGGGTGCCTTCCACAATTCTAGACATGGGAGAAATAATGGTAGAAAAACAAAAGCCCCAGTTTGATGGAACTTAGATTCTAGGGACAGGATGCAGGAAATAAACAAATGAGCATGTAAATATATAGTACCTCAGATACTAGTACGTGCTATGGAGAAAAATAAAACAGAAGAGAGGGAGTAGGGATTGCCAGGGCAGGAGCTCCTCTGCAGGTAAGCAAGCCTCCCAGTTAACACAGACCTGTTGATGTTTTCTCAGTTTTCCAAATAATCCTGTCTTCTCTTCATAAGTAGAAAAATAAAGTTTTGTTTGTTTGTTTGTTTGTTTGTTTGTTTGTTTGTTTGTTTTAAGAAAATACTAGGTCCTGGGGGCAACTGGCTAGCTCACAGTACAGCATGTGTGTCTTGATCTCTGGGTCTTGAGTTCAAGCCCCACGTTGGGCATGGGACCTACTTAAAATTTAAAAAGTAAATAAATAAAGAAAATACTAGGTCCTGAAAAACATGTCTTCCTAACTTATAGGAGATAAAGTATACAAAAAAGAAAACTAGCTCAGGACCAAAAGCAGAAAAAGAGAGGGAAAAGGAAGAAAAAGCATAGCCCTCCTGCAAATCCTATCCACACCGCATTTCAGAAAATTAAAAATGCAAGCTAGAAAATAACACTATACCCACATATGCATGTGTGCACACACACACACAAATGTAAAAGAATAAACTGGAAGGATTTTCACCAAATCCACAGTTGTGGCAATGGTTGGATGATGGGTAAAGGGGTATGGGCCAAGGTGTGGAGCAAAAAGACACTTCAGTTTTATTTCTATTTATTTTTCGTTAAAAATCAAAGACTTAAAGAAAATGTGAAAAAAGAAATGTTCAAAATAATAATTTCTGGTG